GTGATGATATTCGAAATATTTAACAAAGGGTTCGCTAACAGAAAATTTTTCTTTAACGATTTTTTTCGCTCAAATGGTGCATTAGCAACATTAGCACAAAAACTGACCTTAAGATAGCCTATCTTTTTTATTTATATGGGTATATATTACACGCAATGATAAAACTGACATAACTATGTGGTTAGTGACGAACACCAACAAACAAAATGGAAGTTTTTGGTTAGAAACAAATACAATATAAAGTTGTATTGGTCTGGAACACAAAGTTAATAAATGGTGGTTCCTATTTTTTTTTTGGAAAGGACTTTGTCTTCAAAAGAATTAATCATAATTATCTCCATCGGACGAAAATTTACAAAAATACAATACTTTTTCTTGCGATATATCTAATAATAGACAGATATCATCATCTCTTGAAATACAATATCTTTTTTATTTCGCTGTCGATAGCCTGACAGGTGTTCCGCAGCCATCTTGTATTTTCTCGCGCACATGGGATTGCAGGATCTCTCGTATGACTGGATCTAGTTTCAAGAACTCTTGAGTCGATCATGATTGAATCTCATTTCAGTTGAGATTGAAACGGTCGAGGGAAGTTGCACCAAGGAGAACGGGGTATAAGGCTCTAGTTTAGTGGTGTTACAGAGAATAATACATATATTTTAATATATTTTTTTAAAGAAACATAACCACTGAGAAATGTTACGTGTTTAACAAGGTTCGGAAAACTTTGAAAATGTTAACAATGGGTTTGGCTGAGCCTGTGCGAACCTGCTGAATATTGCCACTAGACTGACAAGACACTATTTTTCTGAAATGGAATGTATAACTGTCACAATGTAAATCACAGGCAGAGCCTGCTCCATGATGCATTCAACATATCCAACAAGTGTATTTTACCTGAAGTACCTGGTGTATAATTTGGTTCTGTATTCATTGATGGCATCCTGAATAATGGCCAATATCTAAACATCTTAAACAAGTGGACAAATGGATTGATGACTTGTCATTGGCACAACTACTGCAGGTTTGTTATGAGCAAGATGTCATGCCAACCCATTCTCAGACATATGTGCATCAGTGTCTCACAGAGCAATTTGACATTTACTGTATAGGAAAACACAGTCCTGTTTCATGGCCATCATGTTTGTCAGACTTGACTTTTCTGAATTTTTCCAGTGAAGTCATATAAAAAGCATTAGTGTATGATGTGTACCCAGCAATGTTGCATAATGTTGACAAACTGGTGAGTCACATACAGTATATCAGGCCTGTGAAATGGTGAAACTATGAATGCCATCCATAATACTATACTCAACTGTTTACATCTTTGTATAGCTGCAGAAGGTGGTTGTTTTGAATATATTCTCTAACAAAATAAAGTTAACTTTTTATATTAATTTCTGCAATATTGTCTTAATCCTTTACAGTCAGAGATTATTTGTATGTTATACTAAATCATATTAAATTGTTTTTCTTTGTTTATTTTAGTGATAGAATAAGCATGTAGCACATTCATACTCTTGTGCAATTCTGGAAAGATGTCTTTGCCCCTGAATAAATGTTTCATTGGACACCTGTGCATTTTAATTGCTTTTAACTATTTGATTAACTAATAAACCTATTTTGAATAACTAATTCTATCCAAAAAGTGATTCCTCTCCTATTTACAATTAAGTTTGATAATAACCAGTATATGGATAATTTCAAATGTCCATTGATGGTTGTTGATGATAATTTTCACAAAGTTTTATTTATTTATTTGTTTTAATGCTTTAGTTTAGCTTTTAAATATTTTGGTATTTGAATTTAAAACTGCTAACTTATTTATAAATTGAACTTAACACTGCTGACTTTTATTTATAAAAGTTACTTTTAACTGTTAAGTTCAATTGTTCAAAGTTTTAGATTCAAATTGATATTAAGTGCTTAGAAAAAGTTTTAAACACTATCAATCAGGTTAGTTAAGTGCCATGGAGGACTGTGGGTACACAGCTGTCCTCACTGCATGTAGTGAGTGACCAGTATGGTTACATGTGAATTAATTGCCCCAAAAGCATAGATCTGAGTAGTATAACTGGTAATATATCTGCACAGTATACTGGAATTTTGGGTTTTGGTCTTGCGCTGGACTGATCTTTTTCAGAATATTCTAAATTAAATTAAATTTTTTGTAATTATTAAATTTTGATATGGTAGCATAACTTCCTATCTCTAGTGCAAATTGCTTAATCTCTTATTAATTAATTAGCCTTACTATAGCCTGATATTAATCCATCTGTATTGTTTAATTAGTAATGTTTATTGAGTTCATTGTGTATGTAATTATATATATATCTGATTCTTATATTATTTTTATATATTAATTCTTACTTTTTATATTAACACTTTCATGATGATTGATGTGATTTTTGTGTATGTGACCTTCATTACAATATGTTGATGACATGATTTTGCATCATGCTAGAAGTTTTTGGTAAATTGCACTTGCATTATTTTTTGGATGTTATTTATTACTACCTGGAAGAATAAGAGACATTATAAAATTATATTTTATTACTTGGTTTTTTAGTTTTCCAGGACACATTTATATCTTTGGCTAAGTACTGATGCCTAATTTTACAACATAATTTTATAAAGATTGTTCAAAATGAAAAAAATTTTATTCTTAATTTGTGTATAACAATGACATATTTTATGAAAAAATGAATTGTCATATTCAGTGCAACTTTTTCTTTCAATGGCAGCAAAAATGTTAATATATGATGATGATGATGATTTTTATTTTATATATTATTAATTTAATTCTTGTCTGAACAAGAAGTTAATTTCTGACGTAAGATCTTAGATAATATCTATATTTGGTTCATTAGTTTTATTTTACTTTGAAGATAATCTGAATATCTATTATATAATTCCAAAGATGTAAAAACCATAATAAAATAAATATACTAGAGAAAACTGAAAGTGGAACACTAAAAATAAATGTTCTATTTATGTCAAATTTTGAAAGCTTATAAAGAAGGACTTTAAAAGTTCAGTTTTCACATAAACATCCAATTCTTTTGTCCCATGAATTGAACTCTACCTCAGGGTCTAGAGGGGCAGATCTGACCATCTAGGGGTTACTCTAACAAAACTAATGTTGCCTCCAAAAAGTAATAATAATAATAATTAACAATAGTAAATAAACTTTTTTGATCAATGAGTTATCAGTTAAACAATATTAGTTTTTTAACATGGATTCTTAAGTACAAGAAGAAAAAATTAATTATTGGTAAAGATTCTATAATATAAAATTTTAACATTAAGTAAATGGCTAACTTTTGCTAGTACACACACTTTCATTCTGCCATTATGCATCTATCTACTTACACTCATTCAAAATGTAGTCATGGAAGAAAACTCCAAGAATAAATTATGTCAACATTAATAAATACAATTGAAGACAATATTTGGATTCAGTTTTATTTAAACAACAATAGATGTCTCTTCTCTTTTCTTAGTCCTATTTTCTTCAGAGGGTGCAGTTAATTGTATCTTTCCACTGTTCACGCTGTTGTGCCATTTGGATGGCTTCATACATTGTATGACCTGTAATCATTATTACTTGGTCTGCCCACATATTCCAACATCTGCCTCTAGGGTGTTTGCCATTGATCTTTCCTTCTAGAATTTGTTTCTCAAATCTGTTTTTGAGTCTGGAGATATGTCCCAAGAAGCAAGGGTAAGATTGGTATATTTTAGTGGTAAGGCATGTTGTGATTTTCAGTTGATTTAGGATGGAGCAATTTGTTTGGTGCTCCATTCAAGAGATTCTCAGCGTTTTTCTATATGTCAAGGAATCAAATTTCTTCCAAGTTGCAGCATTTATGGTCCAGGTTTCTGACACATAAGTGGCAATTGGGAAAATAAGCATTCTTATAAGCTTTAGTTTATTAAAAATAGTGATTGCAGAATCTTTCCAAATTTTATATAATTTAGAGGTTGCATTGTGAGCAAGGCAAATTCTGCATTTAATTTCATTATCACAACCTCCTTTACTCATAAGAAGTGATTCAAAGTAAACAAATTCATTGACTACCTTATAGTCTGCAATTTCCTTAGTCAGTGTCAAGGAATGATCAATTATCATAACTTTCATTTTACTTCTGTTAATCAGCAATCCATATTCCCTGCTCTCAGTTTCAAGTCTTAATATATTCAAGTTCTGATTCACTGGCTGCTATAATAAGTGTCTGTCCCTCTTCAGCCATATTTGTTACAATTTGGTAGGTTGACAGGCGTCTACAAAAACTATTTTAATCGTAAACCCAAATGTTTGTAATGGAAAAACTACTTGTATTTTTGTTGATGTTACAGGCATCTACAAAAATACAGGATCCATCAAATTTTAACAAATATGGATAAAGAAGGACAGACAGTCTGTGAAATGCATACTGTTCTCATAATAAAACTGTGTCTGCCTACTTCTGTGTGATTACTCCAACGTCAATAGTGTTTGATAAGTCCTCCATAGAGCCAAAACTTAATGCTCATAGATTCATGTTCATACTCCATTTTATTTACAATTATGTTTTGATCTTGTTTCATCTATATATTTTTTGATGATGCTAGCTTTATCTGTTTGTGATTTTGGTAAAGTACACCTTAAATGGATAAATTTCAAAATTGATAAATTGTTACTAGCTTTGACAAAAAAGAAAAGCTTTGAAAGTTAGCATTAGCCAGTTAACTCTAACTTTATTTGATTCATGACCTCTGACTCATGACTGTTACATATATATAATAATTTTAATTTTAAGAAAGTATAATAATAATTAAGTAAAAGATTTTATAAGATGAGTTGCAAAATTTGACAAGATTGAATAAAGTCAACTTTGAAAGAGAATTGTAAAATTTTTTAGTTTGAAAATTATTAGATTATTTGATTGAGATAAGTTGATTTTCAACAAAACATAACAAATTCTTTATACTATTTTTTTTGTTTTGCTTTTTTACAGTTTTTGTGAAAAATTCACCATGTTGTAGAATGGTATCTGATGGCTGAAAATGGCAAAATTAAACAAACTACTTATTTTTCATTATTAAAAAGGTAAGATATATGAAATAATTTTCTAATTACTGGCTTATAAATGTGAAAAGTATTTATATTTAGGAATTGATATTGATCCCTCATATAACACTGTAGTTATGTTCCAAAAAAAGTACAGTATTATGTAAATCCATGCTATACAAAACATGGGGTTAGGTTCCAAAAGTCAACAAAAGTATACTATTTGTTTTTTTTTTATTACTAAGAGAAATATATTTATTAAAGCAATGAATAATTTATTTCTAATCAATAATTAATTAACAATCACAGTTAAAAGTACTGTATTATGTGTTAATATTAATTTTAGTTAAACAAGTTAGATTTTTTTTCACAAAGTATTATCTTCTGAACTTTTTATTGATCTTGATCAGAAATATCAGCACAGTCTTTATTTTTTAATATTTTTATTATAAGTTATGATGAAATAAAAATTTTTTATTAATCCAGAATTTGTTCTAGGGGGTTGCATTTGTTCAGTTGAATATCATGTGAATTATTTTTTACCAGAATTTGTGTTTGAATGCCATGATACCACTGTATTATGTTTTTCATTTTTACAAATGAAGTAATCCTTTGTAGATAAGTAATACCTATGTTTAAAAAAAGTTTAATAATACTCACTTAAAATACTCACTTAATACTCACTTAAAAGCTACAATAAAACAAAAAATAAATTTAATTTTATAGGAAAAAATAGATAACATAAGAAAAAATATTCAGTAATAAGTTGCATGTATATAATTATATTTCTTAGTTTAGATGGTTTAGATTTTTAAAGTATTCATGATAAATGGATGGTACTGTACATAGGGTAATAAATCCATAATTTCTTTATATTTTTCTTTAGAGTGGGCTTGCCTCACTTTTAAAATCAACCAACAATAAATATTGTTGACGATATAAATTACTGGTAACAAATTTATACTGAGATTATAAGATATTTATTGTGAATCGATTAAAAACATAAATTTTATGTTAATTTTTAATAAGAATTAGCTTTAACTATTTTTTTACAAAATGAAGTTGCCCCACTTTCAAAATCCATGGCTAATATTAAGTTACCATAATTTTGGAATGGTAATCTTGGACATTTTCCCTAATTATGGATAAAATATCCAGGACATCCAGGATACTTACTATGTTAAAAAAAGAATAACATTTAGTATTATGAAGATATGACTTAATCCATTCTTATAATACAAGGCTTCCTATAAAAGTGTGCAATGGAAAGGTCAAAATAAGGTTAATAACATGATTTAAGTAAAAAAATTGAATCTACACATTAAAGAAAAATAAAAAGTCAGATATTTTATATAAATGATGAGAATGAATGTTATTTTAGACCTACTTCATTTTGTTTTTCACTTGATAATATTTTCCTTAAAAACTGTTTATTAGATTTTGCTAATTATAATTTATTAGATTTTGCTAATTATAATTATTAAAGTTTACTATTATATTTGAAGAACTGACATTATGTCAGTTCTTCAAATATAATAGTAAACTTTAATAATACACTTTTCTTAGAGATAATGCTTTGACAGGAAGTACTGATTCATGTCGCCATCTAGTCAGACAAAAAACAGACAGAAATCCATTGCAGTTTTATTTAATTATTAAAAAGTCTGTATATTTGATTAGTTGTAAACATTCTGGGGATTATAAAGATGCTACAGTTAAAATTTGGTAATGATTGGTTCAATAGTTTTTGCAGTTAGTTGGAACAAACGAAAAACACATTGTGTTGTCTCTTTATATAGTAGTATAGATAAAGGAATATATAAGTTACTTATGTTGAATCCTTATGACAAACATTGAGTAATAACTCTTGTACACACTTGTTGAACCTTTATTCCTGGTACTGATTAGATTTCAGAACAAGTATTTTTGGCCTCACCTGAGGTCTGATTCAGGTTAAATGAAAACTGGATTCCAAACTTAGAACGGTTTTTGAAACACTTTTCAATGTTGAGTTTTAAAATAAATAAAATAAATTCGAAGATATGCATGTGGTATGGAGCATTGTCTCTTTCTTGCTCTTGGCATAAGTAGCGCCAGGCATATGAAAGCATGTTGCTGTCTTTGGAGTTTGTACATCCCCTGTTCGGCCTGCCTGTATATTTCAAGGGCTTCTAGGGCCCTGAAAAATTATTTGAAAATGTATTAAAAATTATAGAAATAACTTTTAATAATGTTCTAATTTACACATTCCTACTTAAAGAATCCTGAGGAAGATCTCCTAAGTAGATCGAAAATGTTAGAGATTGCAATTGATTAACGAATTTGCAATTAATTATCCTGGAATTTCTTTTAAAGTTCATTTTATTGTTATTTTGTATAATATATTCCAGGCTTGCAGAGTTTCAGCTAAATAAATTAACATTTTTTTAAAATTCATTTAACATTTTTGGGTTTTTAAAAGTGATTTTTAAATTACATCAGCATAGAATAGTTGAATATAAATCAAACTTAAACTTCAGTTTGTTACATGCTTTGAACATATGATGGCTTAAATATAATAATGTAAAAATATTTTTTGATGATGTTTATAATTTATTTTATTTCTTAATTACTGTTATTACCAATTTTTAATTCATTTAAACTATTTTACTGCTTTTATTTATTATACAAATTATGTATTAATCTATTATCTGAGTTAAAAGAATTTATTTTTTGATTTGTGTTTCATAAACAAGTTGTTGATAACTAAATTTTTTTTTCTCTTCTTTATATGTATATCATAAAAATAAATACAATTTTGATTATTATTATTATTTTTGTAATTGTATATACATTTAATATTTTTAGCTATGCTATTCTGAATTCATTATGTTGATAAACTTTTGGATAACTTTGTTTTATAATTTTCATTAGTTTTATTTTATATGCTATTCATATTATAGAGATTATAAATATAGATTAATTTTAAGAAAATGTAAGATGATAACAATTGATTTATTCAAAATTTTGCAAATATATATAACAACTGAAAATAATGAAGAATGACAACTTTTTTAATAATCTATCTTAGATTTATGATGACAAAACTCAAATTGAAAATAATAAAATGGCAACTACATTGTCATATCTTCTTCATAGAATCACTAACTCTACTTGCACGAAATTTTGTATTTTTGAAATAAAAAGCACCGGAATTTAGTAAATGCATAATTTTGCTTGTTCTGTAATTATTCATTATGGAATTGGATAATTATAAAAGAAATTAATTTTTAAAATTTATGAGGTTTTAATTAAGGAAAATACTGAAATAATGATTTTGAATACAAATTTACTACAATAACAATGCTATAGTTATTTAAGATGATTATTATTTTTCACTATTTTTGAATGTTTCATTATTGTGGTTCACAAAATAACGAAAATGTTTAGATTTTCATTTAAATGTAATATAATTTGAAATACAAAAGTTAAACTCTTTTTTTCATTGGTGTCCACTTATTTAACCATATGCATGTGTTGTAACCTAGTTATCTAGTTATTATCTAACATTTAACTTTTATTATTTAAATGAAATTATCATTATATGTAAATAATTATGATCAAAAAAACTCATAACAGTCTGATTATCATCAGAAAGAAATGGATATGTAATTATACATAAAAATAATTTTTTTAAAAATATTATTATTATGTTGGGTTTAGCAGGTTATACTTGGTTCACACCGGTGGCTGTGTACTATGCCAGATCAGAGTCAAGGCATAGCAACCAAAAACAAAAATAAGTGTGTCAGTGTCTGTATTCAGGAATTTCCTAACAATGTGGCATGTATTTAATATAGTGGCCTTCTGTGGTGTGATGTATGTGTTTCTATTTAATTGTAATGTTCCCAGGCTTTTGTGTAGTGTGTGTGGTATGACATCTGTAGAGGAGAGAATGACAAGTATAATAAGAACCCTATCCATCCTCCACAGATGCCTTATTTCCTGGGCGAGTTCTATGTACTTGCTAATTTTTTCAGTGAATGTGTTTTGTATATTGTGAGTGTTTGGAATGGATATGTCTATAATGTTTGTGATTTTAATGTGTTTGTCAATGAGTGTGATATCTGGTCTGTTGTGGTAAATTGTGTTATCTGTGATTATGGCTCTGTTGTGGTACATTTTGTGCTTGTTGTTTTCCAATACTGTCTGTGGAATGTATTTGTAGTATGGTTTGTGGATGTCTAATCATTTGTGTTTCTTTGCAAGCTCTTGGTGTATTATATTTGCTACTTGATTGTGTCTATGTAAGTAATCTGTCTGTGCCAAGAGCTTGTGCCCAGAAGTAATGTGTTGTATAGTTTCTGGCACGATGTGACATTTTCTGCATGTGTCATTTGTGAGTGTTGTATCTTTGAGTATCTGTAGATTTTAGTATTTATGACCTGATCTTATATGTCAATCATGAATCCTTCCATCTCTCCAAAGAGGAATCCCTGAGCTAGCCAACTGTTTGACACAGTTTTGTCTACAAAATCCTGGGTCAGGTCTTAGAGATGCCTGCCATGGAGTGCCTTTTAAACCCATGATTGCTTAATGGTGTCTATGCTTTTTATATGTTGTGTCGTGTCCATATGTTTTGAGTGTAAATTTAGTGACGTGTTATTTGAGTCTGCTAGAGTTACTACTTTATGTAACTGTGATGTTTCTTGCTTTTTGTAAAAAATCTGAAGGTTTCATACCAAAATTGTGCTGGCAGTATTATTTACAAGAGTGTATTAGTTTTTACAATATGGTTTTAAGTATATCTCAACATCAAAGATTGAATTAGCCCATTTGATTTGTTGAGTCATGATTGTGACTAAAAGTTGTCAACAGCTGGATCTGCATTCTATATTATAGGTAGCTTTTTTTTTCTGAGATTTGTTCAGCTTGGCATATTTTGTCATCTAAGTCAGTTAATAAGGACAAAAAGTTAGTCAAACAGTTCATTCTGAACTCAGACTTGAAATTGTTGGTTTTGGACAAGTTTAACAAGTTTTTGTGCAAGAACACTAACTTCCTGTTTAGAGCAAATAATTTCCTTGCACAATCTGGTTCTATTTCACTGAATATGGTTCCATTTCCAACTAACTTAAGAAGAGTCATCCCACATCCTGGAGTCTTGTAAATATTAATTGACTTATTTGACCAGCCTTTAAGTGTGACTTATTTCAAATTATTCTTTGAGATAAAAACTCATAAGCCAAATTGGCTTCTGCACCCATTAGTGAACAAAAGATTTTATACACACAATGTATTTTTTAGAAAAGGCTTTAGCTAAGTTGCTTGCTACTTTCATGCCTTGTTTCAGCATTATGGTTTCATCTGCCTTGGAGATTAGGACTGTTATTAAATTAATAATATGGTTTGGTTGGGTAAAATTGATGTCATTTCTTTATATCCATTAGAACCTTATTTTGAAGCTGTTATGTTGGTGAATTTCCTGCTGTTCAAGGAAGGGTTTAGTGTACCAATCAATACTTTCCATGTGAAACTCTTTTGTTAGTGACAGAAAACAATTATTTCTGTTTTAATAACTAGTATTACCTGCTAAAACAGGGTGTACCTATGGTGGATCTTCTCTGTCAGCCATGTTGGCTGAATTAATTATGAGGAATGTGAAATTTAGTATCTCCATCACCCTTTACAATACAATATCTACTCCTCAATATTGATACATGAATGATATCTTGTTAGCTCGGGATAGATTGTACAAATAATTATTGCATTTGTTGTTTGCTTTTTATCCTCCTATATGTTTCACTATGGAAGATGAAAAAGATAACACATTTGCTTTTCTAGATGAAACTTGTTAGTTTTGCAGAGGCAATATCAAGAGACCACATAAGCAATGGCCATGTAACTGAGGAGGCTACATAAGCAAGCTTTTACTGTATTTTTTAATGTTTTATTATGAAGTAAAGAGTCCCTCTATATAAAATTTATTTCCTGGAGCTTTTCTTTGTTAGCTATTTCCAAGGGAGGTGTCATAAATGCTTTAAATTTCTATTCTTAATCATTTTACTATATTTTTAATATTTCAAACAACAAACTAAAGTTTTTTTTTTGTACATTTTCTGAACTTTAATCTTTGCAATATCACATGGCTTCATAATCCATTTTAGCTTTGTTAAAGCTTCTTCAGGTAAAGTTAGCAAGGGAGATAAAATACTAACAAAACTTTTACTGTCATTATTGCTGTACCTAAAGTTTTATAACTTTTGTATAATGAAGCTTTTCAAAATTTATCGAGGAAAGATATTGTCATAATTGANTATGCTATTCATATTATAGAGATTATAAATATAGATTAATTTTAAGAAAATGTAAGATGATAACAATTGATTTATTCAAAATTTTGCAAATATATATAACAACTGAAAATAATGAAGAATGACAACTTTTTTAATAATCTATCTTAGATTTATGATGACAAAACTCAAATTGAAAATAATAAAATGGCAACTACATTGTCATATCTTCTTCATAGAATCACTAACTCTACTTGCACGAAATTTTGTATTTTTGAAATAAAAAGCACCGGAATTTAGTAAATGCATAATTTTGCTTGTTCTGTAATTATTCATTATGGAATTGGATAATTATAAAAGAAATTAATTTTTAAAATTTATGAGGTTTTAATTAAGGAAAATACTGAAATAATGATTTTGAATACAAATTTACTACAATAACAATGCTATAGTTATTTAAGATGATTATTATTTTTCACTATTTTTGAATGTTTCATTATTGTGGTTCACAAAATAACGAAAATGTTTAGATTTTCATTTAAATGTAATATAATTTGAAATACAAAAGTTAAACTCTTTTTTTCATTGGTGTCCACTTATTTAACCATATGCATGTGTTGTAACCTAGTTATCTAGTTATTATCTAACATTTAACTTTTATTATTTAAATGAAATTATCATTATATGTAAATAATTATGATCAAAAAAACTCATAACAGTCTGATAAGATATAAATCATGTCCAAGCTGACTTTGAAAATTTTTGTTGTGATGTTATTTTGATTTTATACTAATTTGAAAATGTAGTTTGGAAATTAACATAACATCGTTAGAAAAAAAGAATCAAATATCTCATCAACAACAATAGAAAGTTATAACTTTTCTCTTTAATGTAAACATTCAACCATCTAACAATGTTATTCTCATATTACAAGACTGAAAGTTTACAGTTAACATTTAATTTCTTTATTATGGTCCCGGGGACACCTTTTGACCTCCACACCTGCTAAAGTAACCTCTAGCTCTAATAACAGTCCATCACATGACATTTTTCTCAGGTTAAATCAATAAAAGCCTGTGTCGTCCCCCTAGGGGAGTCTTTCACAAGTTGGACTATACTAAGGAGCAATATCGTTGAGCTATCTTTATTTTGTGTGGTCTACAAAGCTCATTCGCGATTTCTACAACATTGTGCACCATCAACACAAGAACTGATACAAACCTCCATGGAAATTAGTAAGAGGTATGATATCAAGCGTGTAAACTCTCTCTCGGCCCCTTAAACTTGTACTCTGAAGTTAGGAGAGCTCAAAGTTGTGTTGATTTTTGTAATTGTAAACGTCCTTTTTGTTATTCAATAAATTTTTTATTTTTCTTGTTAATGGTGTCCTTTGCTTGTTTATTGCCTACACTTTACCGATGATCCCTCTCTTTTCTTCCACTCAACCTGACAAAAAGAATCCTGACCCTTTGGGATAGCAAACGCAAACAAGCCATCCACTGACAAGTGAGCAGTTTTCACCAAACTGTTGCCGACAAAAAGAGATACGACCTTGTCGTACCTCCAGCATCTCACAGTAGTATTTACTGTTCTTACAGGATCTTACAAATGGATATACTATTTGTCTGATCTTACTCAGTTAATTTATTTGGTGAATTGCGATGTCAAAATACCTTATCTTATCTGTAGCACTAAATATATGTTCATTCCATGCACACTTGTCATAAACAATAAGAAAAGCAGGATCATTTACAATTTGCAAGAAACTTTTTACTAAATAAAATGCTCCATTTGTATTCACTGCTCTACATCAAAAATCAGTGCTCTACTAATTTTCTTTAAGATTTCATGTTATTTAAGCTTGTATTTAACTGTTGTGATTTGTGCTTAACTTTTGACATCAGTATTTATGGTACTTTGACTCTTAAATTTTAAGATATGATTCTTAGTTTTAGATCAAGATTTGACTCACTGATTTTGTGCAAACTCTATATACATCTTCATAAACTTACATGACATTTTAACTAATGACAAGTAACAAATTTGTAAATAATAATAAATAGCATTAATGAATTTAAGTAAGCTTTCAATTATCATTTTATACGCAGTGTATTATTAACATTATCATAAATTTGTGCATATGAAAGATATTTTTTAATAAAAGTTTTTTTCATCATAAAGTTATTGAAAAATTTTATTTTTTTGTAAGGTAATTGTGTATCTATAGCATGGAAAAACCTGATCAAAATACCCAATGTTCATCAAAGGGTGCCTTTGATGCAGCTAGCCTGCTAGGTATGTAATAATGATTTATTATCTGCAGTTTGAGAAGTTTCTTTTTTAATATTAACTAACAAAACTTAACCTTGCTTAACTTAAATATATTTCAATATGTTGTGTCTCAATTTTTAAAATGAATTAAACAACAGCTTTAGTAATACTATTTATTTAAAAAATTTAAAGTTAGTTTTAATTGCTTAATGTTTTTTACATTTATAATTTTATTTTTAAAATCTTACTATTTACATTATGTTTTTATATAATACAGTGGTACCTTGGTATACGTCTGCTTTAGAATACGCCTAATTCGGAATACGTTCTGTTTGGACGAAACAAATTTTGCTCAGTATACAACTTTTGTTCGGTATACAACTTAATTCAATTATACGCGCCATCTATGAACAAGTAGCACTTTTGGTGTACTAGACTAGACTAGACGTTCACGGTGCCATGGTTTATCACTTTGTTAAATTTCTTCTGATTTTAATTTGTAAGTAAAATTTTATTATTTTTATTAATCATGAATTGCAGAAAGGCAAATGAAAAGCAACAGAAAACTAAACAAAAAAAAAAGACCAGAATTACAATGGAACTGAAAAAGTTTGATTGTTGAGAAATATGAAGGTGGCATCGTGTTTGAGATTTAACTGTTGCGTATCGTATTCTGAGAATGAAGATATCGACAATTGTGAAAAATAAAGACATTATTAAATCTGCTAACGTTGGGAAAGGAGTTAAATCAATTTCTAAACAGAGATCGAAGACATTAGATCATGTTGAGAAATTGCTTTTGCTTTGGATAACTGAAAAACAGTGTGCTGGAGACAGCGTATCAGAAGCAATTATTTGCGAGAAAGCTAAAAAGATACATGCTGATCTCATGAAAAATCAAGCAGGAACTAGCCAGGAAAGCGAGGTGTTTAAAGCCAGCCATTTTTTTACTTGAGAACGGATTAATCATTTTTACATTACTTCTTATGGGAAAGGTTGGTTTGGTATACGTCCTATTCGGTATAAGTCCAAACATCAGGAACGGATTAAGGTCGTATACCAAGATTGCACTGTATTAATATTTGATAGTTATTTTAGCATTTATTATAATCTCTTTTTAAAATTTTGGAGAATATCTTTTCTGATATTTAAAAATAAAACAATGTATGTGTCTTTTTGTATTGAATAATATATGAAATAATTTATTCACTTTATCTCATAAATTTTATTTATTTTTAAAATTACATATTTGAAGCTTTTGTAAGAAGAAGACAGGATATTAAAAACTTAAAAATATTAAAGCAGTAAGCAATGATTTGCAATTCACTATGTTAGTTTAAATGCTTTTATGGTGACTATTTACTTTTAAGACAATACAAATATGTTTTTTTTTAATAAAAAGTAAAATACATCTGGATACGAGTCCAATTTTGCTTGCCATGTCCAATCACCAGGAACAACTATTTCCATTGCAAACTTTTTATTAAATAGTAATTTTGCCAGCCCTTTTCTACAAAGAAATACAAATATGTTTGTTAAATATTAAATTGAAAATGAAATTATGATCAATATATTTGAATAGTTTGGTGTTTTAGTAACAACATTTTATTGTGTTCCACAAAAGCATTTTATTCAACTGTTAAACTGACTTTCTGCTGTCTGCATATTGATAATAAATGATAAAACAGCTACTTAAAATTTTTTCTTTTTATCTATTTAAGTTAACTAGCAAATGAGCCCAGCATTTCTTGGGCTAATGATTTGGATGATTTAGTAAATATTCTTTGTATGATTGGAAATTAAGTTATTACTATCAAAAACAAAAATTTGCATCTAAAATAGTACAGTAGAAGCTGTTCTTCAGGTTAAGCCTTAATCCATCCTGCAGGGGAATTTTCAAAAATCCCTTTTTAGTGTGCATTTTCATGACGTACCATAACTGTGTTTCACCTAAATGTCACCTCTAGGTTCAGCAGTTTGCTCTGGATGATGATGAATCAGTCAGTCAGGACATGTAATTTTATATATGTTACCAGCCAAATCCGATTTCAGGCCAAACGGGTTTTTCCTATGCATTTCAGGATATACTAGTTTTGCCCAGGACAATCTAGTTTTGCCCAGGACAAATACTTTAGGCTTAACTAGTTTGACCTAGGCCAAACTGATTTAGAGTTATTATTCAAGTATATTAATGGTTAAAATAAATTAAAAGGCAATCAATTAAGTGAACAATATTAATTCAAGCATAGTCTACTTAATTATAAAAAACGGCATTGATTAGAAGTGACACGGCACTTGTACAGTACAAAACTATAAAATAAAAATAAGCTAATCAGTACTTATCTGTTTGTATTTTTTAAGCCATGCACTTTTAAAGATAATTAACTTTCAAAAATATTTTCAAAAATTAAACAAAATAATAATAATAATTTTTAGAGTCAAACTAAAATTAAAAATTAACTTATTTGTTCTTCTTAGTGTAACATATAAAATATTTAATCTTTTATTTATTTTTACAGGGTGTACTGTTGTGGCAATTCAAATTACACAAAATCATTTTTTTTACATTGTCACCTATTTGTAGCACAGTTTTTGGTATAGGTGTATCTTGTCCTGTCCCAACTGAATGTTTAGTAGCTGCAGTCCTTAGTGAGATTTGAACATCTTGATTAACATCACTTTCTTATAGAAATTTTTTTGTACAAAGGTCGTACTATAATAAATAAATATTTTATTTTGACCAAATTACATAACATACTTTTGCTTTTTAGAACAAATAAAACGGCGTTTGCATCGCGCTTTTTTCTTTGAAGATCTTTATCAGACCTTCATTATAAGTAAATATTATACAAAAACCCTATCTGAAAAAATTCTTAAAACTTGAAAACCTCTTCCAAATATAAAAACAATGATCATCAAAATCAGTTTGGCCTAGATCAAACTAGTTAAGCCTAAAGTATTTAGGCCAAACTAGATTGTCCTGGGCTAAACTAGTATATCCTGACACACGTAGGATAAACACATTTGGCCTAGGACAAACTAGTTTGGCCTGAAATCGGGTTTGGCCAGTAACATACATATTATTTGAATCATGGCGTTGAAGATAAATTATTTAATAATTTCTTTATTAATATATTCTTTAAATATTTTTCTTAATGCTAATTAAAGAAAATTCAATCTGTTTCAGAATTTAACAATAATATGTTAAATATTTGGGTTGCAATTTGAAAAAATTGTAGACCTATAAATTCTCACTCATTCATCTGTCTGTCTGTCTTTCCTTTATCTTGAGAACAGAGTTAGATAGATGAAAGACAAGACCACATATGGAAACCGTAGGGACAGGAGGCCCTGATTAACTAACTATAAGCAAACTTCTTATGCAAACCAGAAGTTATGTTATTTCAGTTCAAAAATGTTCTCTTGAAAGGTGACCAGCACAACTATTGTTAAAGGAAAAGTATGATGTACAGGGGCAAGCCACTACTAATTTGAGGTGGAGAGCATATATTTTAAGTTAAATAAATTAAATATATGATTAAAAATTGCAGGTCAACATTGTGACAATGTCACAATAAATAATTACTCATGACATTTAAATTCACTTGCTGAAAATTTTTATTATGAAATGAAAATTAAATTTATTATTTAACAAATATCAACAAATAATATAACAGTTTTTAGCTAATATATAGTTTAGTATTGGATATTTTTTCTAATACTATTCAAGATTTTATTGGGATAATTATATAAAGTATTGATCTTGGATCAGGAATTGGAATTTTTATGGAATTGTAGGTTATGTTCAAGTTAGTTTTACAATATGTACTACTCATCTAAGATATAATAATTTATATTTAGCTCTATAACTGTTGTTTCGTTATGTAATAAACAGAAATTAATGGAAAGATTATTTTCAGTATTAACTTAATTGTAAAAGTTTTTTTTCTATTGGTCAAAAAAAAAGGAGAACTTTCTACAAAATCTTTCTGACAGAGTAATAAAACATATTAATGAATTATTTATACTTAATTTAATTTTTATATTTACAGTTGACCCCCCTATAAGATCATTGATTTTTCCGTTTTATCTGAATTACATGTTGTACGAGTCACTTATATTTTACAAATATGTGAGCCATTCACAGTCCGGCACACGTATTTGTAAAATCTAAGTGACTCGTACAACATGTAATTCAGATAAAACGGAAAAATCAATGATCTTATAGGGGGGTCAACTGTAAATATAAAAATTAAATTAAGTATAAATAATTCATTAATATGTTTTATTACTCTGTCAGAAAGATTTTGTAGAAAGTTCTCCTTTTTTTTTGACCAATAGAAAAAAAACTTTTACAATTAAGTTAATACTGAAAATAATCTTTCCATTAATTTCTGTTTATTACATAACGAAACAACAGTTATAGAGCTAAATATAAATTATTATATCTTAGATGAGTAGTACATATTGTAAAACTAACTTGAACATAACCTACAATTCCATAAAAATTCCAATTCCTGATCCAAGATCAATACTTTATATAATTATCCCAATAAAATCTTGAATAGTATTAGAAAAAATATCCAATACTAAACTATATATTAGCTAAAAACTGTTATATTATTTGTTGATATTTGTTAAATAATAAATTTAATTTTCATTTCATAATAAAAATTTTCAGCAAGTGAATTTAAATGTCATGAGTAATTATTTATTGTGACATTGTCACAATGTTGACCTGCAATTTTTAATCATATATTTAATTTATTTAACTTAAAATATATGCTCTCCACCTCAAATTAGTAGTGGCTTGCCCCTGTACATCATACTTTTCCTTTAACAATAGTTGTGCTGGTCACCTTTCAAGAGAACATTTTTGAACTGAAATAACATAACTTCTGGTTTGCATAAGAAGTTTGCTTATAGTTAGTTAATCAGGGCCTCCTGTCCCTACGGTTTCCATATGTGGTCTTGTCTTTCATCTATCTAACTCTGTTCTCAAGATAAAGGAAAGACAGACAGAC